AAATAATTAAGGTAGTATACTAAAATGGTCTAATGTGGCCAAATAATAGATTAGGGTATTTTGTTAGGTTTTAAAATATAACTTTTTTAGTGTTGTTTATGCCAATTTCCACGATGGACTTATTGATTAAATGACAGTGAGTTGCACTCCAGGAAAACAGAAATTAAGAAAAACAGAAATTAAAAAGCATTGCATGAAACAATCTAAACTTTGGTTTTAATCATCTCCACGAACAACAAAACCAAGCCGCTCTGCAGATTCCGATAGATACTCTTCTCCAAACTGATCGACTTTACTTGCGATGATCTTGTAGATGTTTTTAAGCACGGGTTCAGACAAGATATCGAATCCCGCTACAACAATCTCTATAATCTGGTCCACGTTCTTATCCTCCAAGCCCTCAATGTAAGCAATGGCACTACCCTCGATCTGGCCTGTCCCAGTCAAGTCAATGTGATATATAAATTCGGTCATGTGCGGTGGGCTTGTAAATTTTCGACTAAAGCTCTAGGAATTTGGCAAGGTCCCCAAGTCGTCTGAACAGTCTCTAGTTCCCCAGCCGGAAAAACAGAATTTAGTACACGGACATTGATGAACAGAACTCCGGCTGCAATTTTTTCATTTAAACTTTGGGAAAGTAACGCATACCGCACCGTTGATCGATGAGTAATCTGTCCAAGCCCGGGCTCAAGCACCTTGATTCTTGCATCAACTAAACAAATCTTCATCAATCTGGTTCGATTGCTTTCCGCATCTGCGAGGACCAAGTGACCAAAGGCCTTCATAGGAAAGGGCGGGAATGGATTAGTCGCAAAGAATGCAACCTCTGCGATCGCAGAGAAGACGACCTCCCCTTAAGTCGAACCTCGAACAGACTTCCTCATGATATGGTGCATTCGCATACATTGTTCGTAGAATTCGTCGCTCTCCATCATCTCTCTTGAAGACCGAAACCGTTCGAGTCAAATCGCAATATGAACTCGCAAACCGAGTAATTCCGTTTCTCCAACGAATGGCTGGCTCCGAGAAATTCAATGTAGCTAGACGGAGCGATGCTTCAGTTTCATCCTTCGTCAGAAATCGGCAATCGAATGTGCAAAGCAAATCATAATCCTTCAAGTGAACTGCCATGTCTTCTCCTCTGTTTCTTGCGTTGTAAGTTACTTGGAATTGTGGTTAAAGGTTACAAGAAAACAAACGTTCTGATTATTTCGATTGATACTCCTCTCTTCTAAGCACACATATTTATAGCTTAAAACCTAACAAATTTGTAAAAAGGAAATTGCAGTAAAGAAGGAAATTGCCTTTTTCTAATCCATTAAGGAAAAAACTAAATAATTTCCAATTGCACGATTTGTTTTGTTTTCTCTTAAAGTCACGTGCGTGGCACATGTGCTTCAATTAATCAATCTTCCTTCTTTCCTTTAGGTTTTGTGATACCATTTTCCATTTTTCAATTCTGGAATTAATTTAATTTCAGACATATTTAAAAAAACGTTCAATATTTGATTAATCTGCTTTGGGTGTTTAATTACTTAGCTTTGGTAATTTTTGCTTCTTCTCCTTTTGATATAAAAACTTGGGTCATGTCATTGTCCTTTATCTCTACCAATGCTGTGTCTGAAAAGCTTCAATTTCAAGTTTTTGAAATCATGATTTTGTTTATTTCTACAAAAAAAAAAATGTGTCTGAAAAGGAAACATTCCCAGTTATATTAATAGATATTTACTTTAATCTGTTCATTTTCCCAGATGTATTTTAAATCGATCTTAAAATATGAAGTCGCCAAAAAAAAAAAAAAAATGTATCAGTCTTGGTGGCATAATGCACACTACAAGTTATTTACAATGTTTGAAGCTTCGTCTACTTTTTTACTTCGACTCGTCCAGTCTTACACTTGCGTTAAAAAGAGGAATTTTAGAAGAAATAAGAAAACTAAAAAACAAGAAATAGACGACGAAGAAAAACAAAGTGAAGATTATTATTCTTGAAGAGGTCCGGTCTGATTGATTATTCAGAGGACTCGGAGCTGAGAAAGAAAAGCAGCACAGAGATCCAAGAACAAGAACTGAGGACCTTGTACCCTCTGCAGATCCAGCAGATACTTGTCGTCCCGAGTTTTATACAACTGTTTCAAACAAACATCCATTTTTAAACATATATGGTATGAATCTGTGCTTGCTCATCATCAAGTGGAGAAGAGGATTTTACCTGAATTTCAAACTTGACAACATTAGGCGACTTAACAGCTGCGTCGTTCTCTATTATGCTGGAATCATCTCCAAAGTAGTTGTTATCATGCATCGAGTTACTGAGCATTCCGTCTACGTTGTTAGGAACCCATCTGCACTTCATGTTGTAGTGCCCTATCTTCTTCCAACACACATCCAAATCTTGCAGGGCTTTCAGGACTTCTGTCATTATTTCACGAGGATGAGCCCGAGACTGTAGGATCCAGCGGTTGTATTATCAATACAACTGAACAGATAGAAATCAAGGGATTGAACTTTTATAGAACAAATTCAGAAAAAATGATCAAGACCTGGAGTCCAAGAGCCCATTTTCTCTCAACAGGGTATTGAGATCTCAAGCCAACTCCTTGGTATTCCATCAATCCTGGAAGCCGATGGCTAACTGGTGAAGCAACGCTTTCTGCTGGATGCATACGCGGAGTACCTTCCTGATTATAAATCAAACATTCAAGTATTACTTCAAAGATCTTTTGCTACAGTCAAAAAGGACAATGAAGACCCACCATAGTCTCTTGAAACTCGGCCCCAAGATAACCACTAGAGGCACGGAACCGATTGTCCAGTATCAGATAGTATGTCACAGTGCCCTGGAAGACAGTATTCGATAACAATTCAGTATTTCAGATCTTTTCGATGGAAAAAAATTATTTTTGAATAAAAGAGTAACAGCAAATGGACAAGAGGCTGAGAAACACTTACATCATTCTGGGTCCGGTTGCGGAGAGATTCCATAAGGTGGTTTCTGTCAAAGCCCATATTGACAACTTCTTGGAGAATCTCCTCGTCAATCTACAAATGAAGCCAGCACTTTAACACCTTTATCGAAAGAGGGGAATACAAACAATCTCTAATGAAAATAAGAGTAGATTCGTTCGGTTTACCTTTTTTGCCTGCTGCACCGTATCTGGAGGAGGAACGGCTAAATACCTTGGAAGATGAGCTTGGAACCAAGGATGTTGCCGGATCTCTGGGATGGTTACTCGTTTCATGGGGTCGACAACAAGCATCCGGGGGATCAAATCTCTAGCACCAGTAGATAAATGGCTAGGTAGAGTATATATCCCTCCCTAAAGAACGAAAAAAATTACTCAAAGGATGATACAAAAAAAAAAAAAAAACACCAAATGCAAGCATTACTTCAAAGAACTTAGCAAAATGGAAAAAGAACAAAAAAGTTTAAGTAACAGGGCGTCGTTTGCAGTACCTTTATCTTCTTAAAAAGGTTGGGAATGTTTTCATCATCGAACGGAAGTGTCCCACAGAGAAGAGCGTAAAGTATCACACCACAGCTCCAGACGTCTACTTCAGGCCCAGCATATAATTTACCCGAAATGACCTGAAACAATTTACAGATATCGATTATAACTGAACATTTGAAACAAAGCCCTACTTATAGTGCTGATACCTGAAGGTTGCAGCACTTACCTCTGGAGCAGCATAATTTGGACTTCCACAACTTGTCTTCAAAAAATGACCATCTCGCATTATATTGCTCAGGCCAAAATCAGCAATCTTTACATTGCATTTAGAGTCTAAAAGCAAGTTTTCAGGCTTAAGGTCTCGGTGAACCACCATATTCCGATGGCAATATTCCACTCCGGATATTATCTACATCAAAGCCAAGTCATGGGTAAATTTTAACTCTCATATATAATAATAATAATCAGTTAGTTGCTTGGAAAGTTACATGTTGATAAAAGAAAACATACCTGCTGGAAAAAGTTCCTCGCCTCGTCCTCCTGCAATCTACCCTTCTCTACAATATAGTCAAATAGCTCACCAGAGTTCACATACTCCATGACAAGATAAATATCTGTCGGAGTCTCTATGACCTCATAGAGACGGATGATATGAGGATGCATAAACAGTCTCAAGATTTTGATCTCTCTCCTCACTGCCTCAAACAGAAAACAGAAACAAACACCAAATGAATTCAACGAAAGGAACCTGAAAAGAAACTATACTCCACTCCACAACATCTTAAAGTCACAACCAGAAACAATTAAGATACTATACGGATTCACAAAAATTGTACCTTTCTCCTCCATCTCCATGTTCTTGATTTTGCGACGATTAAGGATCTTAATTGCAACCTTATGTCCTGTCAATACGTGCTCAGCTATCTTCACTCTACCAAAGGAACCGATACCGAGAGTTCTCCCGAGCTTGTAATTTGGTAGAATCGATTCAACCCCACCTCTACCACCTGATCCATCCATTTTTCTTCTACACAACGATGAAACCACACATACAACAAAAGCAAAGCCCAAAAGAGCTATATTAGATCTACAACACCAGACACAAAACAAACCGCAAAGAGTATTACTATCTATACACAGAAGCAAGCAATGTTGACATTTAACCACTCAATTTCACCAAAATAGTACGAGAAAAATAAAAGACAACGAATTTCGAGTACCGCTTCATGAAGATTTAGCAACACTAACAGAGCTTAAAATAGCAATTTTCAACAATCCCCAATTCGGAATTCAGAACCCTAATAATCCAATCGCCGGATTTCTTCTACAAGTAATGGATCCCTCGTACCGATAGAGAAACGAAGAATTCCAGAACAATCAAATACACCCGATTCGACGCAAGTTAACATATACAAAAAAAAAAAAAAACGATATTGTTTCCAAAATTAGAAGATTGAGATCATCGAACTTACCAAAAATAAACCCAGAAATGCAGCAAGAAGACGAAAAAACCCTAAATTTCTGAGCTAGAAAAGTGAAATTGAAATACGATAATGAAGATCCAGATCAGCTTAAACCCAGAAATTGAGAGAT